TTTAAGGTATGAGGGGTGTGCTAACAACCTGTTCAATCCCCTTTTATGCTTGATCTTAAACGATTTCTAGTAATAGGAGATCACGAAAAAAAATTCAAAAAGCTTTGACAAAATGCCAGAGGAAAGCGTCCGTGGATGAAGTCCTTTCACTGTAGACTGTGATGATTCTTGGAAATCACAAATTGAACGATCACGTGTTTAGTCAGATGACAAGCAAAGACACAATCTCCTTTCATTTCTGCCCGGTTGAGTTTCTCACTATGATAGCATTTACTTTCTGGCTGCAGGAAGACTTAAAAAAACAGGCGGATGTTTCAACCTAAGGTGGTTTTTCTGGCATATTTCTCTAGTATTTTCTTTTCATTTAGTCACTTGAACAATCGGATTTTCTTAGCTTAATGCAAAGGCATTATTGACCGCGTCAAGTCAACACAGCTTTTAATATTTGATCAATTATAATATACATTCAGGGTTAATACTCTACTTTAGGCAGGTAAAATCTTTCGAATCGAAAGTGTTGGAGTACAAGAACCTTCCAGACCAAAGCCCAAATTATATTGCTGAACTGGTCTTATGTTTTTCGCCTTTTTCTCCGGGATTTGTTTAAGGCGTCTTTGAAAATTTGCATTCCCAAACTGTTGACGAGAGGATTCACCATAGAATTTGTCAGATGGCACCCACGAGCCACACCACAGTTCCTTGCAAGCTGTATCAATGATTTTGAGATAAAGAGCCGTAACATTGATTCTGAATAGGTAGCGGTAGAGAAAAGTATTCAAGAAGAAACCAAATATGGAAGACAATTAACAATATCAGTTATATTCCAAAGCATTATATTATAACACACGAAAATCACTCGCATAAATGAAACATTTCAATGCAAGAATGTTCTGTCCTTTCAGAAGAGTACTCTTTAGGGTTATCTGCTCTAACAAAGCTTTCACCTCATCCCCAATGCTATACAATCAGAGCGTTATTACTCTATTACGTGTAGTTCAAATTGTTGTCGAAAGTTTTGGAGTAAAAGAACCTACTAGACCAAAGCCCAGACTATTTTGCTGAACTACCGGTCTTACGTTCTGTTGTCTTTTTTCCAGAATTTGTGTAAAGCTTCTTTAAAAATTTGCATTCTGAAACTGTACACGAGAGGATTCAATATAGAATTTACCAGATACATAGCATCCACGAGCCAAAACACCAGTGGTCTAAAGCATCGCTGACAAAATTCTCTCGTTGAGTAGACCACAAAAGCAGGCATCCAAAACGCAAGCGATGAAGCAATTGCTATAAAAACTGTTTTTGAAAATCGTAAATTGCGCTCCCTTGATCGATGCCTATGATTGTCTAACTCCGCGGGTGGTGGTGCTCGCAATCGAGTGCGTATGCTTAGGTAACTCACACAGATTATCAAAAAGGAAATAAGAAGGCATGTCCTAAAAAGGAGGAAAACATATTCCCCCACAAAATCTGAATAATGGAAAGATAAAACTGTTAAACCAAAACAAACAAGGCCCACAGCCCAAACAATAACGATGCTACAGTTGTAAACTCGACTATTTATGATGCGATGACGGATTGGCCGTAACACAGCGAAAGCACGTTCCATGGAGATAAGCGCGAGAAAATAAACGGACGTACCCGAAAAGAAAAGTATAAAAGGCGCTATCGGGTTTGCTCGGCTCCGCATCAAAAAACCGTAACCCTCCCCTACATTATGAGATTTAGCAGTTCCAATGATTATAAGTTTCATAATCCCCACAAGTAAATCGGCGACTGCAAGGTTGATCAAAAGAAAATCAGTTCGTTTTAGGCGGGATCTCTCGGTCCAGAAAACAAAGATGGCGAATGTCTTTCCTAAGACGGTAAGGACTGCTTCCAGAGTGCAGATTATTACCAGGGTAATGGACGTCGAAGGAGGCATATCTTAGTTTCCTTTTTCTGTTGCCAATTTTTTATATTCAAATATGTCCCTGCCTAAATAAAAAGGAATCAGCTCTCGTACAGTTGAGAAGATATGGTGCACTTAGCATAAAATGGCCTTCTTGTATTCCTTTAAAAATCCTTTTGACCTTTTGTTTAGACCAAACAGAGATATTGCTATATGGAAGTAGAATTTCCGTTGATCTTTAGAAATTAAGGCCAGATAACAGGGGCACCCACATGGCCAACGACTGTTTTCTGTAAAATATCTGTTCGGAGAAGCAAATATTGGCTAGAAGTTTCTATTGCTTCAGGACGGCTACAAATTTCTAGATAACTGTTCCATTTATGTACAATTTACCTACGATTTTCTGAGGCTTAGTTTTCCACATTTCACTCCCCAAATAATGCTATTTTTTATTTTTCACTCCCCAAATAATGCTATTTTTCATAATAAAAAAGGAGACCTAAAATCTTCGGATTCAAAAATGTGATTGAGATAGGAATTAGAAAAATTCTCTCATTCGTAAAACGATAAATTGCATCTAAACTTGTTGGGAAAATAATTCTGCAGCTCTAGTAATTTCAAGACACAAGTTCCCCTAGGATGACCGAACAGATAGGTGACAAATTTTATAGCGCAGCTTAGAATGTATTTCTAGAAATCTAAAAGTACTCTTTGTAGTCTAAAAAGTGTTTTCGACGTATTTAGGAGGAAATCGTCGTTGGGTGTACCTGAGATAAGCTCACGGTCAATTAGTGGTGTTGTGTCGAGGTAATATTCAGTATATTGAGTATACAACGTGTTTCCTCTTATACGGTATGCCCTAAAGCTTTTTAGTGAATGCCTTTCCAAAGATGACAATGATTGCTTGCAATGTGTAGATAACCAAAAGGACATTTATGCACGTTGAAGTAGGTATGTCAATAGGCTATTTCCGAGTTCAAAACTCTCCTTTCAAAACGATGCGAGGTGCAAAACCTTTCTTTTGAAAATGAATTGAACAGTAACAGCTTTTAGTAGCAGCTTTATTAATGTGTCAGTGTGTTTAGTTTTCACAACTAGTTGGGGACATAACGCTTTGAAACAGAGGATTGAGGCAACACCGAAATGTTCTATTTATCTGTCCAAATATACCTTGTCTTGCCTCATTTAAGCGAATCCAAAACAGTGGATTCTGGAATCCACGCCATGGATTCCGGATGTAAGGTATTGGATTCTAGTCGTTGTCAGTGCAACTTTGATTCTGGATTCCAATCGTTAGTGGGATTCCAGATTCCTTGAGCTATATTCCGAATTCAAGCTAAGATTTTGGATCCTATGAACAGAATTTTTCCGGATTCCACATTTCACAAGAAAACGTATTCTCTTTAATGGGGCGACCTGTTCTTATAAATGCGAAACAGCCCCCACACAGTTGAACGTTATTTTGCAGTTATCGTAAAGAATTGCGGGTTTGTTATATTATTTCTCCGTCGAAAATACCTTTTCTTTAGGCCAGTATAGTTCATGATCAAAAGAATGGTTCTCTGTCAAATTCTCTAGAACTGAAAAAATCTTTTACTAGAATTGGTGTGTCTATTTGGAATTCTATTCCACTTTCTGTTAAGACTCTCAACATATCTAATTTTCGTAAAAAAATTAAATCGCTACTCCTTAATGTTCTAGGTAATGAAGATAATTATTTGAATATGAATTATTTAATAGAATATTTTGTGAAGTTAACCTGATATGTTGTATATACCTCCACTTGTAATTTTAGTCCTTTTCAAATAACAAAATCCCCTGTACTTGAATTAATATGTAAGGTGTTTCTATCTGCATGTTTTTGTATTTCTTTTCTGTTCTTTTTTCTTATGTAATTTAATAACGTCTTTATTTAAAGTCTTGTCCTACCTAGATTAGCATTATAGCTATTTGCAGGACATAAAATTGTAAAGTTTAGATTTCTTTAAATAAATACGTTGTTGTTGTTGTTGTTAGTATATCTACGTTCATATACTCCCGTAGCCCCCTCGAAAACTGTACCCGATTTCAGACAAACGTCAAGGTAAATACAAATATTCCTTTCTATTCAATTTTCCTAATGTGATCTGCCTAATATTGCACTTGTCATTTGTTATCAGTAAGGCATGTTACGGCCCCGAAAATAAATTCTCCTTTAGCAAGCACTACTCTTTGAAACCTGGAGGCGTTGTCCCTTCCCAAAAAGCGCCGCTGCTCTCAGTTGCTACAATGGCGCGAGGGCGTATCCGTGGGATGGAATGCATTTTATTATCTCTAAAGGTGGATTTCCACTGTCGCGTAATTATAAATTGTACGCGCGCAAACGAGTAAACGTGAAAGTTGAGCTACCTGTAAGGCACAACTTCCGATCAAAACTTGGCAGTGAGTACTTGCTTTCAGGGTATTTGAGTACTGTTCATGAATCTTGATAAACTTGAAGGGCAATACTAGGTAAAAACATTTTTTCACGAGAACACTTCGGTCGAGTTTGGAAGCTTTTGGATAAATTTTGCAGAGCATGACGCCAGTTGCTTTAGCAGCTTTGGTGGTTGGCGCAAAGCTAGACCGTGGGTAAGGCCTTGGATGTCAAATGTAAATAAAAAACCTCAAAACTTAGTCGTCCGTTGAACGAGTTTTTGTGTTATATTATTATACTCTTCTGAACGATGTTATTTATGGTTTTCTCGGACGACCCGACGACCGCATATATGGATTCGACCGGAGACAAAGCATGGGACAATAACCCCTGACAGATAGCCTGAAAAGGAAAAACCTGGCAATACAAGTACGCTTGCCGCATCGGTCTATGCTTCCTCTAAACAGGACTTCGTACATGGCTACAGCCACACAGGTTATCCTACAGGGCCCAGTTGTTCTAAGGCCGGTTAGCGCTTAACCGTGTTCAAAAGCATTTTCTCGGATAATTTTCTCTCTTATTTTAAGAGCTTCCAATCATCAACTTTTGGACAAAAAGAATTAAAACTGAAATGCTTTTTAAGCTTTCAAATCTTAATTCAAATCTCGCACTAACCCTGGGTTATCTTAACCCAGCTTTGAACAACTCGGCCCAGAAACACACACACAAATAGACACCATGGAAATCTCAAGGGGAGTACTTAAATCAGTTTTATTGGACCGTCAAACGTTTGGATTTTTTTTTACCCCGAGTGAAAAGCACAATAAACAGCGACACACAGAGACACTGCTACTGCTCAGTGACCTTGGTTTCAATTCGCCACTTATAGAAACGAGAAGGCAACTGGCGCCAAAATGCGCCCCGCAATTGTTTCTGGGATAGTTGCGCCGGTCAGCTATTGGCCTTTTTTTCCCTTTCCCTTGTAACTATCCCAGAAGTCTTTGCGAAAGTCAACTCGGCCCAGTTTCCTTCTGGTTTCTAAAGTGGCGAATGGCTACATGTACGCATTTCATTTAACTATCCGGCTGTTTCAAATAAAAACCATAAAAACAGTCTTTAGGCAATGCGTCTTGTGTATACAAAAGCTAAACCCAGGGCTTATGATCTCAAAATAAATGTTTGTGAATACATTTTATGTACAAGCTGTATAAACTTGAAAGAGGACGAAGTGATAAGATGAATAATACAATGAGCGAGCGATGGAAAACGGAGAAGAAAGCTCTTCTCTCCCTTTGACATTGAGCGAAAGGAATTGTTGTAACTCTAGAATCGAGAAAGTCTGGCAAAGAAAGTAGTCAAATAAATAGAAGGAGAAAGCAGGAAATGTTTTAGGCGAATGATAACAGATTAACTGTACAAAAATGAGCGAGTAGAACAGAAGTGTTCAGGTGACTTCTTGCTCAGAAGACGTAACGTTAAAAAAAAAAAGGACTCCTGTGTTTCAAACGTCCTTGCGATTACTCTAACTCGCCCCCCGAATTTTTCTCTACGCGAACTTTTCTGGACTCGAGTTCTAAAAGGATTGTATCCAAATTCGGAAAGCTAGAACAAAAATAGTCTCCTTGCGTTTATGTCCGTCATAAAATGTGTTGTTAGGAAGATTAACTTCGTTGTCGTGCAGTGAAGGCAAAGATACATACCAAGAAGTGGGATGGATGTGCAGAATTGTATTGCTCATTAAACCTATTGCTTATTAGCCGTTCTCGTTGCTGTCGCTGTCGTGTTTGCGTAAGCTCTTCAATAAAATTGGCCTCATTCTATGCTTTACTTTCGAAATAACATGTTCTAAAGAGAACCAATTTCGTTAAGCAACGATAAAAACCGTATTGTACATTGTTCTCATCAGCCAAAACAACGGCCAGTGTTACGTTCGTACTGTTCACGCTTTCACTGATCCGTTGGAGTTTTCTTTGTTGGCATTTTACTGTTCGTTCTAAGATACATGTTCCCGGAACAGCAGATAGTCGATATTTCCCTCTGAAATATGACGATTGATGAACGACCGCTAACCATTTCTCGAAGTTTTCTCCAAGGAATTTGAACTTTTGTCCAGGTCGAAATACTGCAAAGAAAGAAAGAAAGAAGGAAAACAATGTAAGATGGAAAGATAAAACAATGTTAAGGTAGGGACAGTACACATTTGACTGGCAAACCTGAGGCCGACGGAGTGCCCATTTTACCCCCGTCTCTCCATCAGTGTTTACGGGTATTCAAAGCTACTTTCAGCCACTCGGTGAGGAAAGACGCCGAAACAACGATTTTGAGGTAACACCTGGGAAACCAACTCGGAACCGTCCTAACAGAAGGCCGCACAATAACCAACTTTGCTAATTGTTGCTTCAGGTATTCTCAGGGTTTTAGGTAGCATTAGGAGGTACCGGATGCAGTGGTTCAGCTGGCAGACGTGCGCCGTTCACGCCGCTGGGGCGAACGTTGAGTGCCTGAGGCACGAACTCCTAAGGGGGCATGCCCCCCCCCCCCGGGAAATTTTTAAAATTGGACTCTCTAAAATGCAATTTCCTGCGTTCCCTGTACCGGAATTGGGTAACCGGGAAGGTCTTTTAAGGCGTTATAAAATGCTCCCAAAAAAATATACATGTGTATGATAGCAATTAACTCTTTTTCTCGATTGTATGCATTACATAACTAAGTGAGCAAAATAAGGTCAAGTCTTTCTTTGGTTAATAAATGGTAAAAACGATTTTCACACTTGAAAAAATACTTATTATTTCGTGTGTGAACTACCGGACGTTCCATGTCAAACAACCGTTGCGTCCGGCGTCCGGTTTTCAGCCTGAAACGAAACCCCTGTATTCCCGGTATTACGATATTCCTTTTTGGAATGTCAACACAAAACAAATTTTGATGGGCAAGACAGTTTATTTATTGAGACTAAAACAGTCTATTTCTTCTACAAGATGTTCTCTAGTTGTTCCGTTATCATACACTAATAGAGAGCTTTAGATTCTGAGAGGAGGACGACTACGAGTACGAGATTTTCTCAATACTGAGTACTGCTTAAGCGTGAACCAGCGTCATTTTGGATGGGACAATGTGATAGCCGTCGTCATTCTACCACGAGTTATAGCGAGAATGTCGTAGCGGCGGGAACAGGTTATCAAATGTACGAAGTTTTATCATTTACCTATCGGGAGAGGGCTAAACCTCCTTCAGGGGGAAAAAAGTAAAATAAAGCTTTCCAAGGTGTCTTTTTTTGAGAACATACGCAAAAACTTTAAGTTAAATTTCCTACTCGTACTCGTCCTCAAATCTAAAGCTCTCTATTTATAACCCTGGATCTGAGACTCGTCGCCGTCGCCAGAGTCGCGGTTGCTAAAGTTCCCTCATGACTAGAGAGCAACAGACATCAACCTAAGGTGCTCGTCTTAAGCCGGAGTATCGGGTTCTCAAGATGCGTACGAACCCTGTGTAACTAAAACCCCATTTACACGCGCTAAAAAAATCGGCACGGCACGCCAAATTTTTGGCACCGTGCCTACGATTTTAAGGCACGGCACTCCCAATTTTCGACGTGTAAACGTATCGGTCCCAAATGTAATATGGCACCAGTGCTCAAAATTTTAAGGGATGCCGAGACCACCTCCCGCTACCTCCCGGAGGTAGTCTCGGCACGGGTAAACGAGGCATGGTGCCAAAAGTTTGGCGTGCAGTGCCGATTTTTTTCGCGCGTGTAAATGCGGTTTAAATGTATTTATTAGGGCATACCTGAGCACGATCCTTAGTCCCCGCCTGACTGCCGTCTAAGGAGACCATGGAAAGAGGCGCTAAGTGTGTGGCTTTCATCATGTCCACGCGGGCCCCACTTAGTGCCATTTGATCCGTGAATGTCAAAAACCCAGGGTACGAAAGTGACAGTGAGTGCCCCTGATTTGGACCCGTGGTGGGTAACAACTTTGCGGCCTGCGCTTGTTGGGTCCCTAGTTGTTGTTTGTCCAGGCCGAATGTGGCCTGGTTGGGCAAGCGGTGATGGTCCTCCTGTTGTTTTATAAGCTGTAGGAGGACGTGTTGTTGACTGGGCGTTTGCTGTGCCTGGGAAAATGCTACGCTTGTGGGCGACGGCTGGGGGAGGATTATTTTTTGCTGCTGAAAGCGTGGCTGTAATTGCGATTGCTGATGCTGTTGTTGTTGGGCGGGCTTCGAAGTGGCCAGTGTAGAAACCATAATCGGCTGTAATGCGGCGTTTACCTGTGTCGGCTTGAACTGCTTTTCCTGCTGAATCTGTTGAGGAGAGTTTGTCTTCGGCTGCTGCAGAATCAAGCCACCTACATTGAGAGATTGTTTCTGTAAAGTTGAGGATGGTGAAGACGAGGAAATGCCCTGTGCAGAACTAAAGCTCGTCTCCGGGCGCTTGACTTGCGGCTCCTTCGTCTTGTTATCCTTGGCAAGTCCTCCATTTACCATTCTCTGTTCGCCTAATAAAAAAAGTAATAAATAAAGGCGTTTGTTTTACCCTGAGTACCAGAGGTTAATTTTAACGAGCGCAGCGGCAGGGTCCGAAATTGCGCCTTCCTGGTCGCCAATGCGACTAAAAATTTAGTCCTGGCGACCAGAATTTAATAGCTGGTCGCCAGCTAGCGACTTGTAAAGTTGGTTGTTATTGTGGACTTTAAGGTTCGGAGAAACTGATTAAGAAGTGAAACCTCGAAGCTATTTGCCAACAGTTGTCTTACTTTTTGTCCTGGTGATATTTTTTAACTAAAAGTGAAACGAATCTTCCTGTAATAATCAGAATAATACCTCCACAACAGCTACGATCAATACGAGTTGAACGTTTCCAAGCCGCTATGTTGTTTTCAGCTGAAATACGGTAAGTACGTTATGTACTTTGTGGACTGGTACGAGTAATGTGGCACAGTTGTGGCCTGGTACTGTCACAGTGATATGGGCATCGCGGCTTGACTCGTGTTTATGTTTCGTGTTTCGTGGTAGTTATCGGAAGAAAATAGAGTTTTGATATGATTAGTGCAGTTATGGGCAGACAGCTTTCTGTTCCTACGTTCTAGGTCAGACAGCTCTATATCTCCAAAAAGTAATTTGTGGAAAAAATAAGACTTCACTCGTACACGTACGGTTGCTTTCTGGTATCGGGAGCGAAAGTATTGCAATTTTTGAGCATAAAAACGTCCATACCATGCATTTTTTATTCTTGTTTAAACTTTTATTTGAAAAATAGGGAGGGGAAATTTTTGGCGACCACAATTTGCCCTCTGGCGACCAAAAATTTATACTTCATCGCCAGTTGGCGCCCGTATTAAAAAGTTAATTTCGGACCCTGCAGCGGGATCGAAGCCACGAGCGGCGAAGATAAAATTCATCGGCCTGACCGAAACCTGAAACCGTGCAAGAAATATATCTGGCAATCAGGGTACTAAGGTTTGTTACCATTACATTTATAATAAATATATATATTATTCCAATGATGATAATCTCGCCGTTTGGTATTGACACAATAATTTTGTAATAGGACTTTGTTTCGCACACTGAACTCAGGGGTGATCAGGCTGGCGTTGCCAAATGGACCTTTTGTGTCCAAACGTTCGTCCAAAATTATCTCCAAAGTAGCCATTATAATAACTAAGAGTGCAACCATCGCCTTTTTCTCCTCTTCTCCTTTCTTCCTCCTTGCTCTTTCTTTTTTTCCTTTTCTTTTTTATCGTTAGTGTGATTTTGGAGTTTATCGGGTCCAAAAAAATTGCCTTCCGACGCCTTTTTACTCAAATGACGGCAAATTCCGTTAGGTTGGTTTTAAAAAATCGGCTAGAGGTATATATTTCACCTTGGAAAATTTATTAAACACTGATGATTACCTCCAGTGATGCTCCCTGGCTTAACATTGGCGCTCATGGGCGCCTTGCCCTCACTAACTAAAGGGACCTTCCCTCCATCAGCACTTTGAGAGACTTTCAGCTTAGGTGCCCCGTCAGCCCCTGCTTTTATGGTTCCACGTGGTCCTTCAAGGCTCTGGGTCGTTTTTGTCTCAGTAGATAGTGACCCTTGTGATGCGGCCGTTGCAGCTCTAGAGGAGGTTGGAGTGGATTGACTCACCACGCTGGGAGTGGCTGTTAGGCTTGTACTTGTGCAAGACATGGGTGTGGCTAGTCGAGCGTTGACTTGCAGTAACTGGTTTTTCCGGTTTGTCAAGGAGGCGAGACGCTCCTCGAGGCGAGAGTTGTCAGCTTTCAGCTGATGAAGACTGGACATCAGTGAAGCAACTGCAAAAAAATGTATACCAAAGAGGCATAAAAATACACTTCCACTTACAACATTCGTTGTTTACATGTCGGTATCTTCACAACATTGAAACCTAACTTTATTCTCACTACCTGGCCCAGATTGAGTGGTTAGAGAGTTGTAATAGAAGGTCGTGAGTTCAATACTTTCTTTCATGGCTGGTGTTACACTTACTGTCCAAAAATTGAAGTTTACAAGGTATGTTACATGGTTCCTGAATCTCAAAGAAACTGGACTAACAAAATATGGTATTTCCAAAATACGCTGTCATCTGAAGAGAAGAATGTAGAAAATGCGTAAAATTTTGGCTTCACTCTTCTCGGTTTGTCATTTGAAATTGGCCCTTGAAAATCATCCTTGATCCTTGAAAGTTTACTTTTTGCTTAACTGATACGCGTTTTCTCATTTTACTACACTGATACTTACAGTACTTACCAATATAATTTGGTAAGGTTCCACATAAAGACATATACAGCTATTTCCAGAAAGGTTGTCGGATAAAGTGCACGCGACAAGCCCGAAAGGTATTGTGGGTGGTTTTGAGTTCACATTTGATAGAATGGCAGGAGAGGCCATGGACATACGTCTGTGAGTGCTAAAGGAGAGCAACAAAAGCAGGTTCGACAGCTACACTGTCAGGAACAGTGTATTGAACATATGCCATATTACCTTTCGAGATTGTCGCGTGCACATTTTTCCGACAACCTTTCTTGAAGTAGCTGTATGACAGACCCCTTCTGATATTGTCACACGTTTTTGTATGCAATTCTTACCATCATATTGGGAGGCCTGTTGCATAAGAAACTGGGCTCCCTGATCCCACTGATACTCCAGCAGTTCCTCCAAACTCGTTGGAAGCTGCCTGCAAAGAAAGGAAAAATAATTACAAATAATCAACCGTTTTGCTCTCAAGAAAACTAAAAATCAGATGTAAAAAATATCGACATTAATTTTTAGAATTCAGTTTCTCACTAATCTGAGAAAACAGACAACGTTTCTCAACGCCACCGCGAAACGAGCGTAGAAACTCCATATTTATGACGCGTCGCTACCCAGATCTGGGTATTACTTCTAACAGGGTTCGTACAGATTTTTGGATCCAAAATTCCAGACTTTTCAAGACTTTTTTCCAAAACAATAACTTCTTTTTCCAGACGCAAGGTTATCAAATAGGTCAGTGACCAATAGAGACCTTAACAACGCAGGTACAAAGCTTTTTTAATGATGCGCTGCGAAAAAACGGGCGAGATCGAATAAGATTTGACCAAAACAAAAGCAAGTTCGTTGATAAAGCACTTGCAGCTTTCAAAAAAAAACCAAAACAAAACAGAACGTAAACTCAAGGCTTTTACCATTTTCAAGACTTTATCTCTATTTTCCAGACTGTATTGCTGGGCAAGTTTCAAGATTTTTTCAAGAATTCAAGACTCTGTACGAACCCTGTTCTAATACTTAGTTGAACCTTTGCTTTATCCAATCAGGCTGGGGAGTGACACGTCATCAGTATGGAATTTCTGCAGTGGTTCCCCAGACGTTATTTCGCGGGAAAACCAGAGGTGGCTTCGCAAAATGCCGTCTGTTTTCTCAGGCTATTGTTCCACATGTCCCTTATTAGTAAAATCCAACTAGTGGTCTATTATCAATGCTGCGTTCTGATTGGTTGAGCTACAACTAGGCTATATGCTATAGCCCCCTAGTAGCGAAAAGCGCGGGCTTTTTGGCGGAAAAAAGGATTAAAGTCTAGCTTTAACTAGCTAATTTTTTTTTATTCTCGATATTTTTGACAAACTAGTTGGATTTTACTAAAACAATTATTCCTCTCGCCCTCATGGCCTCTGAGTCAATAGCCCATTCAGCATTCGGCCCCTAGGGCTATTGACTCAGAGCCCAATCGGGCTTAAGGAATAATTGTTAAATACCTACACTTGTACTAACTAGTAAATGAAATCACCCTAAATGAAACCTAAAAAAGAACGCCCATGGACCCTGCTGCAGCTATTTGTATTTCAGATACTTACAAGGGGCCTGTGTTCACATTATTGGGTCTTTGTACATGCCCATTTTCCAACAGTCCTCTGTTGCGGGGCTGTGGAATCATATACGGATTAGGACTTGGCGTCCGGGGACCATTCTGAGGAACACTGGTCCCTTGGTTGCTTCCACTGAACATACCCGGGCTTGAAAAGCTGGGATATGAAGGCATTGCCGTGGATGTTCCTTGAGTATCTTGGGAAAAGGTAGAGGGAAATGCTGTATTCAAGGGAGATGTCACCAAGTTAGCGGCAGAAGTACGAACGTTATTCTTATGATCTCCGGTTGAAGCATTTGCCTTAGATTTCAAGGGCGGTCTGCCAACTTTTCTCTTCGGTTCATCACCACCCTTGTTAGCAGGCCGTTTCTTGGGCACACTACTTGCTGGCGGTTGCTTTGGGGCACTACTAGCCACAGGCTGTTTTGGGACACTACTCGCCACAGGCTGTTTTGGGACACTACTCGCCGCAGGCTGTTTTGGCGTTTGTTTGGGTGTACTTGTTACAGGTGACATTATCACGTCCATTGGTTGTGTTATCTCAGGAAAAAGAACATTTGTGGCAGTCTGAGAGATTTCTTGCAAGTGAGTGGTGACCGTTTTAGGAATCATTTCTGGAACAAGCACTGAGGATGACATTGCTCTCGGAGAGGTCATGTCCTTGGTGGACAACACTGGACCNTCAGGAAAAAGAACATTTGTGGCAGTCTGAGAGATTTCTTGCAAGTGAGTGGTGACCGTTTTAGGAATCATTTCTGGAACAAGCACTGAGGATGACATTGCTCTCGGAGAGGTCATGTCCTTGGTGGACAACACTGGACCAGCACTATCAATTTGAACAGGTTCTGTAGGTAACTGTACCAAGCCTGGCAAGGGTGACTGTCGTGGGCTACCGCTTGAAATGCTCGCAGGTTTTTGCGTCTCTGGTGTTGTCTTTGCATCTGGAGAATCAGTTGATGCTTTCACAGTCGAAGGCTTTCTACCCCTCTGTTTTGGAGTAGAGGGCTGACTTGATGAGCCAGAAGCACCGTTTTCAGGTCGTGTTGACTGCTCGGTAGATGCCGCTGCAGTGCCAGTGGAAAGTCTCGGCTTGGGAGGCTTCTTTTCTTTTTCTTTATCAGTCTTGTTTTTAGGTTTCTCTTTCTCTTTTTCTTTTTCTTTATCAACTTTATCTTTTTCTTTGTTGTCCTTTTCTTTTTCTTTGTCAGCTATTTTTCCTGGTTTGTCTGTTGGTTTGGTGTTGAAAAGAATGCCTTTGGCCTGTAAGGGAATTACAAAACTAACTTATTATCAACAACAAATACATGTACAGTTAAACCCTGCTTTAACGACACCAGCTGGATTTCAATTTAGTTTTCCTTTTGGAGGCAGAGGGATGGGGAAGTGCTGTACTTGTATTTTTGGTAACTACTCGTGCATCAAAGAGCTTAATTGTGAAACTAGACACATTGGCAATAATGATTTTCCAACCATGACATCTTGCCAAAAGGCTATAGTGTCACCTACTCAGCTCAGCCGTAAAGGTGAATCTTGTTATGGCCCTAATTTACAGCTCTGGATTTTACCAACAACATCTATCCCCTAAACAGGACAAGTAAGTGACATTGCACCCAAGGGTTCATTGACCTTCTTATACTGTTTTAAGCTAGTTCTGGAAAAATTATATGGCCTTAGTTTTGTGAACCCAATGTTGCCCTCTTTATTCTTGAAAAATTTTATAGTACTATGGAACTAACCACCTGAATGCCAAAAAAATATTAATTCTAAAGTACGCTATTACATGGTTACAATAGTGTTCATGTTCCAGACTTTATCTCCATTTTCCAGACTTTTTCCAGGTCTGGAAAATTACTGGGCAAATTTCAAGACTTTTTCAAGAATTCAAGTCTCTGTATGAACCCTGTCAAGTGTACAATGCATTGAGGAGATGTGTTTTTTAAGTTATCTGCTGACCAGTTATTGGCTTAGATTGATCACAGGCTCAATTACTTCTGGTGTTTTATATTATTGCACTAAAAAGGCCATATAATAAATAACTTATTAACCTCATCCATTCAGTCATCAAAGGGAAATCTCAGACTGAGGCCTTGATGTATTGACCTTGCTATCGTTAATAAATAATATTAATTGATATAGATACAAGGCCTTGGTCTGAGATTGACCTGTAATGATCCAGCAGACAAGGTTAATAAGTGGTATTTTTTATAAGGCCATGTCTCAAAAGGACTGGGAACAAACAAATTCAAGAATTTGATTGGCTAAAATCGATTTTGACCTTGGTCTAGATTTTCCCATCTACACCGGCATCTAGACTGATCTTGTTGTAACAGTTGTCCTCAAAAACGTTACAAACAAAGAATATGAAAAAATTGGCTTGTTGCTGTTAATAATACTAAATGGAAGAATCAGTGGACCTTCACGAGGAAGCAGGCAAAGAAAACGAGCAAATGTTGGCAAATCTGAGCCCTGCCAAGGAAGCAAAAAGCAAAGATGAAGTCGAAATTGATGTTTTTGTTCCTTTGTTTTCTTGTTTGGCCACATGATAACATCTTATTAACCGAACTAGGCCGGTCTGTGTGGGAGAATCTTGACCTTGGTTGCTGGTACAGACCTCACTGCGTTCCGTCTGTACTAGCGACCTCGCTCAAGATTCTCCCATACAGACCTACCACTCGGTTAATAAGAGCTAAGTAATCAATAAAACATCAAAAGACAAAACCAGTACCTTTTTGTTCCAATGGAACTGACAATAACCAACATACTTGACAGTAGGTCCTGACTGGCCATCATTTTCTTCACATAACAAGCCAGAGCTCTGAGCACTAAAATCCAACACAGTACATGACAACTATGAACAGGAATCACATTTACTCAAAACCTGTACATAATATATGTAGAAGGAAAAATTTATTAATGCCAGATATGCAACATAAAGCCATACCAAGTAACATGGAAAGCATGCCTGCAGCCAGTCTTGTTACAGTTCATACAGGCTCCATGTGCTGTTTTACTCTCTCGTCCTCTTTCTTCACAAATATAGCAAGTCTGATCACAAATGTAAAGATAAAACAAACAAATCAAACCAACTGGAAGGATCACATTAATCCACTGGAATACATAAAATTACCAGCATCTATTTTTCCTTTCTTTATACATGTAATACACAAACAGTATTTCTTTTTAATCAAAAAAAGAAGAGTTGTAAGGATAAATAAAACTGATCACCAGAAGATATACACCTTGAACACGCTCTTTAAACAAGGAATATCACAAGAATATTCCCCTTAATTTTCTGTCAATTACCCTACAAGTACATGTACAATATACAAAGGTTCCCTCATTAATGAATACAAGCTAACCATGTTCTGTTACCAATAAATCATAAAAGAACCCATTCGCAGGGTTATCAGAAAGTTTTGAAGTAGACAGCTGAGTTGTCAAATTAAGAGGCCAGTCCAGGGATATTTTATTTAAAAAATGCCATCCATAAAGAAATGCCAATTAGAGTAGCCGGTCGATAATAACAAGTAGGTGGTGATCTTTTCCGGCAGCTTGCTACTTTTGACAGCCCTGCATTCAAGAGCATGGGCGTGATGACAAGCACTGTCATCACAATCTCTTTCCTATCACATTGTCCTTTTAATGCTAAGCTGGGAGTTGCCCAACAACAGCATATCAGAAAAGAGAATATGGGAGGCTTACAGGAGCTGTCCCCTTCTGGTAGGTTGGATTAACCTTGAGCATTCACAAGGAGTCAAATTAATAAAGAAAACCAGAACTGCTTTGCTCCAAGTTTTAAGTTGGTGGCTTACATTATTTATCACTTTGAATAAGACAATTTCTTTGACTTGCTAACTTGGTTGTAAATTGAGTACAAAGAATTTTTTGCATTAGTCTATTTTAATATGGATCACAATAAAAATATTTGCAGTACCTTACAGAAGCGATCATGTGGCACTGAGGCCAAAATTATTGGCTCCATTGTTGTAACATTTCCAAATCTCACTTCAGGAATGTATAGTGCACAAACAACATGCGCCCAGCCTGTTAACACAGACAAAAAGTTGTAAACTGGAAGGTAACTTGAACACATACAGCTGTATACATGCCTACATAATAATGTTATTATTATGAGTAAAGGCCAATCAGAGTATAAAGGCTTTCATGTAGAGAGGCACATTTGGTCTATTAAAGCCTGATACACAGAAAAAGAAGACACATTCAGCCAGCCACAATTAATCTTATGTAAGCTTCATTACTCAAGGAAGCTGTCAGTACGTTGATCTAACATTACCATGAGAGATCTAACCAGCAAGATTTTATAACAGGGGCCAAAAGTCATGACACATGTAACTCCACCATCATTAATTCACTATTACCACTGTATTAATGGCTGCAGGAAAATGGGTCATGATACACGTACAATGTAACACATGACAAATGACATTAGAGTGGTTTTCGTTTGAGTGTCGTAAAACCAAAACCAAAGTAATTACTCTGGCCAATCACATAGGACACAGACAATACATTGAACCAATCAAAACTCGAAGTAATTACATGTGGCTGACGCAAAGCGCGGGAAGATGCATGCGAGCGTGTCACAATTGGCTTTGTTTTTACTTCTGATTGGATGAAAAGGTGGCGCGAATCTTTTAAGCCAATCGCATCGTGTAGAAAGTGCAAAACCAATTCCCTTTCGACACTCAAATGAAAACCGCTCTAGTCTGCACTAGAAATTGAGCGTTCCCTCTCTTGAGCTGTAGTCTTCAAACTTTGGGTGCAGGATTGCAATACATGTACATGTAAATACATTTTTACACACCCTCTGATTGGCTGAGAGACGTGTTCGCATGAGAGTATGTAAACATGGTTGTGACATCACGATGTTTTGCTTTTTGTGCGCTAATCACACAAGCACAAATTTGAAAAAGTTTTTGAGTTGAAAACTCAACAACTTTACTTTATGTACCCATTCTCTTGTTGGCTGAACCTTGGAAAATGTGTCAATTTCATTTTGCTTAAGCTGACGGTTTAAGCGAGAAAACTCCGCATTTTGGAAAGCACCTTTTTCAAGAACCAAGAACTAATTATGTGAGCAAGACCTTGTTTACAAGACTTCGTGACTGGTAAGAGTTTCTCTTTTAATCAGTGTCATAACAATGAGTTTTGCAATTTTTCTTGGGCAAGTTACCCCGGTAATAAATATAAGCAATACAAATCTTTTTTCCCTCTATTTGCATAGCCTGATATAAACAAGAGTGGGGTTGGGAGAATTCTCAACAGTTTTATGAACCCTAAACTTCGTCTCAGGTTTGCATAACCGTCTTGAATTCTCCCAACCGCTTTTGTGTTCATATCAGGCTATGCAAACACGGAAAATGTTTCTATTGCTTAAAGGCCACGTCAATAAACTGGCCTAAACTTAACTTGCTCATGGTTCTTTGTAGAAAAAGGAAAGCCTTTATTTAGATGTTGGTTGATTTATTGGAGGATATACCATATTTCCTCAAATAATAGCTGTCCCTCGATTAATGGCGTCCGTTGAATATTCATCCCCCTTGGACAGAGATATTTAAAATAATTGCCTTCCCACCACTCCTCTCGCTATCTTCTGTTCCTTTTATCCCCTCCCTGTCAAGTTGAAGTGAAATGAGATTCATGCGAGACTGATCAGTGATGATTCAAGCTAGGAACTTAATTTGGAACACTTAAAAAGCCCATGTTCAGTTAATTCAATGTCCTTATTTTTTAATTTAATGGCATAATTTAGTAAAACAAATGACTTCCAGTGAGCAATATTAAAATAATCACCTCCCTCAAAAAATCACCTTCCCTCGAATAATCATCCGCTTTTGTGCGAAAAAGAAATAATCGCCCCAGCTATTATTCAAAGAAATACGGTAATGATGATCATACTTGGAGGAAGGGGAGAGACAGGAAAATGGATAATGCAAAGAGATAAAAGCAGGCATTATCTAGTTGTCTGGTGGAAGAATAATTGCATATTGAACATGCCACAAGTTGTAGAAAAATGATAGCATATCTAATATTATCTATTTAGCATTTCTCAACATGTTTTTAAAAGTGTCAAAGCAATCATTTGAAAGTGTACGCCTTACGTGTAAAAAACAACAAGCTCTGGGAATGGGGACTACAATGTCTATGAAATATAATTTGTGTATCCGGTACTGGACCCATATTTTACCAAAAATTGAGTTTCTTTCTGCTAAAAGTAAATGCTCTAACCCAGGCTTCTTACACATACACTTTAGGTTTCCTTCTCCTTATGTCAAATGCAACAAAAAACTTAAGGATTAAATAAAGACACCAACCTCCAGTATCTGTTCTCTTCAATGCTCCCTCTTTATATGGACACAACTCACATTTCTGTGCAAGCAAATCAAGAACCAGAAAGTTAGAAAGAATATATGTCTTTATTCAATTATGGCAGTTAAAGTTGATGCTTGTGCAGTTTTCTAAAGAAAGCCTGAAAATTTTTGGGCTTCCTCTTCACAACTGCATAAGTTGACTTTCACTATGATGATCTTCTTTGGAGAAACGCAGAGAGTTCTTATCTTTAGTTCAGTGCTACAAGATAGTTTTTGGAATAGATAGAATTCCTTTTTTGGACTTTTTTGAAATTACCAAGTGTCATCTAACTAGAGCTAATCACGATTATAATTTTTATGTAAAAGTTGCCATCCTAAATTGCTACAAATATTCTTTCTTTGTATGGATTGTTAATGCGTGGAATAACTTGCCTAAAGATGTGGTACACTCAGGATCGCTGACTTTATTTCACAACAGATTAAGGATTTATGTGAATATTAATTGATACGATTGTAAATAGTTTTAATTAGGATGTGCAAATAATTTTTTTTATTCTAGTTTTCAGGTTTTAGATTTTTCTCTCTGAATATAATGTTTTAGATTCTAGATTTTACATTTTCATCTTTTATTTTCGGGAATCTTTCATATAGGGTTGACCTCTAGATATCCCCTTTCGAGAGGTATTTGGAACTTTAGTTTTTATCTCTTGAATAAAGTATTATATTGTATTGTATTGTTTCTTTGCATTTATTTCTTCATTTTGCAGTTCCAATATATAAAATTATCATTCAATGCAAAATTTTCTTCCTTTTTTGTTGGATGAGTGTGTACAATATGACCTACAAATTAAATAACTGCCTTTTTACTGCTCATGTGCAATGTCATCCAGCTGTGTTTGGCTGCAAATAATATTCTGCTCATGTGTCATGAAAACCACGCTTTTCTGCTTCTTGCGATCACTCTTGTGTGAAAATAGTAGATCGCAATTATTTGCCTCAGCCTTCTGCTTTGGCAAATTATTGATCTGCTCGCCACTGACAAATTACAATATTTGGCTCAACCTCGTCCAATAACTGTTAATTATATATTCATTGATTCAATATTTACTCAGTGAACCATCATTTTTAAAGGCCAAAGAAACAATGAATATTTATGCCATCTAAGGTTAGTTACATGTAACACAAGGCCGTTGTTACAAGCCAAAAATTTAACTGGTTATTAGATAAATTATGCAAGTCCTAGTGACTTTGGCAGAAACACGTTAAGTCGATAACACAAGAAAAATCTCAAATCCCTAGTTTTCCCATTTTTCCACTGTTTATTTCAAAATTACAAAAAATAGACTGTTAGACTTTCAACTTTAAAAACATTCAAACTGAAAATTCACAACTTGTACATGATTATCAGGAAACAAAACAGATTGGCTCTTCTCTTACACTAATGATAAACCTCGCACGAATTACTCTATTGACGAAATTTGAATAACTGAACTGGAACTGTCAGCATGAAATCTACAACCTACATGTAAGTCAACCTGCAGGTCACGCCAACTTGTAAACAAGAAGTTCGTGACAATTCTTCCTGTTAGAGCAACGCAAAATTCCTTATACCAATAATTTTGGGGGAAGGATTCCGCTAAACAATCATCAATATTGTCGTTTCATATGAACAGGGCTGTCAATAATAACATTTAAACAACGTAAAGTATATAACTCACTACTCGAGCGATTCTCTCCTGAGACTCGCATTTTCGACAAAACCACGGTCCTTTAGGTACATGAACGATTCCATAGCAAGCTGATGGTCAAAAAAATAAAACGATCAGAGACATATCTTCAGTGAACAACGAACAAATAATAAACAGCGCCAAGAGCAAACACCTTTATGCACAGCGACATTGCAGCCATGTCCGTCACAATAAACCAACGGGTTTTCTTCCCATCCTCTTTCGTCCGAACAAACACAACAGCCCCCTATCATCTCCTTTACCATGTTTGGAAATCACGATAATTATGAAGCCCTTTCAGGAGCTCTTTGGGCCCGATTTAAAAGAAATCGGTTCGAAAGGGACAATAAAAGTGCGCCGCTCCATGTATTACATGGTTTTTGAAAACTAAAATGGACGCGCGATGCAGCAGCACATGCTACCAGCGCGACTGCGTTGAATGGAAAGTCGCTGACCAAACGAGGCTGACTGTGGACCCCAGGCTGTGTTGTGTCCGGTCTGTCCGGTCTGTATATAGCAAATTCTCCCGCAAATTCTCAATCTTGGACAAAATGAAATGGAAATTCCAGCCCCCTTTCCCGCAAAATTAAAGATAAAGTCGCGCAAATGTGTTTTATTTGGGGGAAAGGGGGGAAATTAAGACGTCTAAATTTTCCGTCTATTTTGTTCAATATTTTAGTCTGCAAACTACCCGCCTCGTTCAGACTCATTTTCGCCGGCCCGTGTACGAACTTTATGCAGGAGCCTATGACAAGTGGTGGGCTGAAGGCCTCGCATGGCCGAAAAAGTCGCTCGTGCGCGCGATGAAGTAACCTGGGGCCCGTCGAAAGTTTTGCATCTAACATGATAAAATCAGTTAATGAAACAAAATGGAGTAGCCTTGCTAGCCAGGACCCGTGCTCTTATTCTTTATATTTCGATTTGAATATTTGTTTTCGGGCCCGAAAAGTTACCGGGACTTCCGAGAAACGGGCCCCTGACTCGGAAATGAAACGGAAAGAAAAAAAGGTTTGTTCGTGCCTGGTTCAGTGTCAAGCTAGTTGGAAAGCCCTGCGAATGTATACACACCGATAACAGTTCTTCCCTTGCGTTGATACTTCCGGTAGTCATTCCGCTGTCCGGTCATATACCAACTATATACCATATACCATATACTACAGTTTGCCGAAGGGAATTTTCGCAATAAAATTCTTTCGACCAGAAACTCCACTATAACGAGTGAGCTACAATAACAAATCGAATTTCCAGATTTTTTCTTTTCTTTTTTTTCATCTTCACGGATTTAATGAAGAAGCGGAGAGTCGCTAGTAGATGGCCGGAGGCGGGCATACCCGCCATGCGCCAGTGATTCAGAGGCGGCCTTGTTGTGGTAGTGGACTACCTTTGGACTATCTAGTACTTTTTCTTCTAATTATTCCCTTTAAATTTTAGCTTTCAGCAACCCCCAAATCTAATTGCTCCATGATTTAAACAGCACTTCCCCCGCCAATTTTTGTTACACGAAAACATTCACTCACCCAAAATCTCAAACATTTATTGGGGCAGGGTCATGGGCTTCTGATTGAAAAAAAAAATACTAGTACATCATGGAGAATGAAATCTTAGCAAGAGCTGGGAGAAAAAGGGCATTTTTGCGTCATTTTTTCCCGCCCTTTTAGAGACTTTCCCTCGCCCCCACTATCTGCTCCAACTTCGGCTCGAAAAGACTGGGACGAGTATTGACTGGAGCTGTTCATTTCCCACGAGGCACTTCGCGTCACTAAGCTGCGTTCAAACTCAACATGGCTGCGAATCACCAGCAACAGATGGATTCCGGTTCAATTTCAGGACGCGTGGACGTCGATAATCCGCCGTTTTCTCGCATCTTCATAGTCTGCAGCAAAAGACATACGGGGGAGGATATGAGGGCCGCATTTGAGCATTTCGGTAGCATCGAAGACATCTGGGTTGTGAAAGACAAGCACACGAAAGAAAATCGCGGCGTGTGTTACATCAAGTTCGCGAAAGCTTCCTCAGCTGCCCTAGCTTGTGAAGAAATGGATGGCAAGCTTATTGGAGAAGACACTAAGCCGGTTAAGGTAAGATAAAATTGTTACAGGTGTAATAATTTGGTACTGTGTTTAAATTCTGAGGTTTGCGTTGCTTTGAAGTTTGTGTAAGCATTGTGACAACTCGCTAATTTGCAAGATCGCAAACCATGTGCTCTTGCTTAGAGCTGCTTTAACTGATTCTTCGATATACCGATTATCAAAAACTGCTGAGTTTTGTTTTGTTCCGTGAGAGAGTTTGTCTCATTCAGAGTTTTAAATTGTAAAGTTGTCTTCTAGGAAATTTTGTTAAGTGGAAGGTAGACACTTCACAACTTTTTTCATTGTCTTCAGCGAGTGCGTTTCAAATTGTTAATTATTGATGTCAGGTAACTATTTTGTTATCAGAAGTCTTGAAATAAAGTCGTTTTATTGATCTAGTGAAAATCTATATCTTCACTTTCGTACATTATGTTGTTGTCATTTGTATTCAAATTTCTTAGCTGTGTCCTGTTTGTGTAAGGTTCATGCATGTAAGCTTAAGTTTCTTTCACAAAAAGAATAGTATCAAAACATCTCGCTACGTGGAAAAGTAAATAGACATTTTTCCAAACCATAAATATTTTACGTTTTGTAGATTAACTGCGTAATTGACCATAGATAAGCAAAAAGTTCAACGAAATAACTTTTTCTAGTAAGCTATCTGGTAATGGAGTAAAATATACTATTTTACTTTATGATTTCTTTATGTTTATGTCTTCTTTTCTATATTTTTTGTACCCTGTGAAGTCCTGTAGAAAGCTCTTTGTTTTATTTGGTGAGATAAAGTTTTTAAACATTGATAGCAAATTGCTTGTTCCAGGTTAAATATTTGTTTAGTGGCTGGGCACCTAATTAGATTAAACTCTAAAGTGAATTTTTGCTTTCTAACTAATTTTCATGTCAGAACCTTTTTATTAATTCAAGTGATTTTCATTTTTAAATCTCTAAATAATCTCTCTATCACAAGAATTTGAGTAGTTTGTTTGAAAATATTTTTAAAGTACCTTTGGCTTTGATATGTATATAAATATCAGTAGTGCATTAAAGATTTTGCAAAAAGTAAATCAGATATTTTAGTTTTTTCGTAACAGTATGGCTTTCATACTGTTGTCAAAACCAATTTAAAATTTCAATCAAACATGTAGTTTTAATTGCATCACTTGATTGTTTTAAGAGGAACACACTATATTGACTACAGTGTTGTTATCCTTAGCTGCTAGATAATTTTGCAGATGGTAGTCTGCTAATTGATTCTTTTAGCTTTAAATGTACTTTCACCTAAGCTTATTTGGATGAAAAAAATTTAAATAGTTTCACCTGTTATTTGATATCTGTTGAGGCTCAATTTTATCCTTAGTTTACCAATGTATATAATTATTTTATTTTCCGTAGTTTCCAACTCAACGTGACATAAGCATACATGTAATTGCACCAAAATATTAAAGGAAATAAAGATTAAGCCCAAATTTAAATTAAGTCACTGCATGTAATGTTTTTTTTTTTCTTTTGTCAAGATGCAGTGTCATAGTTCTTTGACAAAGAGTTGCAGTGATTATTTTTTTTGCCCCTTATACTTGTAGGTAATGATTGCCCAGTCCAAGGTTTCTGGCTCAAAACAAGACTTTCAAGATGATACAGCACTTACCAGACTGTTTGTCATTTGCCCAAAAGAATATGCAGAGGATAACTTGCGGCAGAAGTTCCAGGAGTTTGGCGAGATAGAATATGTTCAGATTGTACGTGACCACAAGACACATGAAAATAAAGGCTATGGCTATGTGAAATTCAAAAAGTCGTCATCAGCAGCTGTTGCTCTAGAAAACTGTGATAAGTCACTAAAAGCAGTTTGGGCGGAACCCAAATCTGCAAAGATTGCTCGGAATGCTGCTGCTGCTGCCGCTGCCTTACAGTCCACGCTAATTCCTCATAACCCATTTCTCGAGGCAAATAGCTTTGCTCCACCACCACCAACACCCCCTGTCAACATGAACATGACACCAGCAGCAGGTCTCCCGGGAATGATGGATTACTACAGTTCTCAAAACCCAGCTGCAGCCGTGGCAGAATCAATAACAACATCACACACTCCCACCCGGCTTTTTGTTAAAGTCTCACCGATGATCAATGCAGAGCAATTGTCGCGCCTGTTTGATATCATCCCTGGCATGCAGATGTGTGACTTGAAGCGGAACTTCAGCACCGGAGAATCAAAGGGTTTTGCTTATGTCACATACAACTCTGTTGGATCTGCAATCTATGCCAAGGAAAAGTTGAACGGGTTTGAATATCCTCCGGGCTCAAAGCTTGTGGTCAAATATGCTGAAGACCCTCCAGCAATGCGAAATAATGGTGCAGGTCTGGGTAGTGATACCACTTTCCAAGTGCAGTCACACGGTTCTAAGTCATCACTCTCTGGAAGTTCATATGCAGTGGACTCAGCGGCAGTTTATACGACAGCAGCTCTCCCTGCTCCTTCTCCTTTGGCAGACCCAAACTCGGAGGTTGCCTCCAGACTGTTTATTGTCTGCCAGCCAGCTCCTCCTCCAGAAGCTGCACTTAAAGATGTCTTCAGCAGATTTGGAAGCTTGATTGATGTGTGGATGATGAAGGAACGTAACTTTGGTTATGCTAAATTTGCGAGCAAGGAATCTGCCGATGCTGCCATAGAAGGCTTGCATGGTCATGAAGTTCTTGGTATGAAGCTTAAAGTGATGCATGCTGATCCTCCAAAGTCAGAGGCATCCAGAAAGCGACCTCGTACTTGATGCAAGCAATGATGAATTTTTCCACAAAGGCTACTTATACCATAGGATGGAGTGACTTGAAAAAGGTAATGTACATGTGACCTTGTATGTTTATTTCATGTACAAGACTTCTGTTGAGGAACAGACATACTGGTAATATTATTGAACTTATAACAACTGCACCAAGCACAGATTCAGAGCACTCCAAGCACACATTCTGTTTTCCCAACCCTGGGCTTGCAACACGTGACAATGAAAGATATGGGACTTATGGACTGGACACAAGGGAAACATGGAATTTATGGACTGGACATGAACTGTTTTACTCAACATCACAGAACACATTATGGGACTTTATTGTAACTTCACAGAAGACGCAGACATTACAGACTTTGTCATTGGTATCCAGGATGTACATTACGGCTCATAAAAATCATTTCTTTATATGGACTG